TTTTGTTTTGTTTTTTGTGCTAACTGCAGTGGGACTTGGAATGAAAATTGTAATTAATTTTTTTTAAGTAACCCTCCAAATTTTCAGCTAAACTATCAAAGAAAGCTGTGGGCAAGCCCATACAGATATGGTCTGGTAGGTTATTTTAAAGTAAAAAGAAGCAACCATTTGAGTCACTTTTAAGAAACAGGAAAGTAAAGAGTTGTGGTGTTTTTTGTTTGTTTGTTTTAATGTGCTAAGTGCAGTGGGACTTGAAATAAAAGTTGTAATTAAATTTTTTTAAGTAACCATCCAAATTTTCAACTAAACTATCAAAGAAAGCTGTGGGCAAGCTCATGCTTTACAACATTAAGTCATGGAACTCATTGACTGGAATTGGGTCAGCCACTGTCACTTTCATTTTTAGCCTACATCACAGGGTTCATGTTGGAATAACAGGCAGAGGAGGAGGATCATGTAGCCGGTTGTAGCTCACCGGAAGAAACACAGGATGTGAAGCCAAATCCTAAAGAAACAGGAACGTAGAAGAGGCCACTGCTTTACAACATTAAGCCATGGAACTCATTGACTGGAATTGGGTCAGCCACTGTCACTTTCATTTTTAGCCCACATCACAGGGTTCATGTTGGAATAACAGGCAGAGGAGGAGGATCATGTAGCTGGTTGTAGCTCACTGGAAGAAACACAGGATGTGAAGCCAAATCCTAAAGAAACAGGAACGTAGAAGGTCCAAGGTTCTATCACTGCCTTCTCCACATAAGGATGGCCAAATTAAAGTCTCAAAATCCTAGAAAATCACTGTTGATATAGATTCACCAATACTGGAACCCCAAACCTGATGAGATTTCCTCTGCAAAGAAGGAGGAGCATGAACCCTTTGGCTCCTGATTGTTTTTGGTTTGTTTTATTTTAAAACAAATGAAAAACATTTTTTATTTTTAAATTTAAAAACCCTATATTTTTATTTTTAAAATCTGGCATTCATCTTGGGCTATCAGAGTGGCGTATGAAAGACATTTTAAAAAAAACCAAAATAAGCCCCATATATTTTAACTGAAACACAGAACATTACAATAAGAACAGATCAGAAACATGAGGCCATCAAAGGAAATAAACATTAAAAAAAATTGACCACAGCATCCACCACACCACCTCAGGAACTAAGGTGGTGCTTAGACACAAAGATAGACTTTGGTGCTCATTTAGCTGCCCAAGGCCTCCCAAATAACTGGTCCATTTAGGAAGCAGTGATGAGTTCCATGCACCCTCTTATTTTTTTTTATTACATCTCCCAGAATCCCATGCCAGCAAGGCGAAACTGGGTACCATTTCCAAGCTCTGGATCTAAGCTAGTAAGAGGCTAACCCTTCATTGTCCTGATGGCCCTGATGGCTGGAACAATTCAAGTTATGGTCTTCAACATCTAAAGGACACCAGGTTGAGAAAGCAGCTTCCTATCTTCTCTTTTATGAATATACTTAATATGCCCAAGACAAAATTAAGGGCTCTTCCAGATGAAGCACTTGTTCTCTTTAAAGTAACAGGTTCCTCACAGATGCTACCAGCATTTTTCCCACCACTCATATGATGTTCCCCTTTTCCCATTACAACATGGCACACTTATCTGTGGGGTCAGTATTACTGATTTACTTATCCATGGTCTGAAAATATTAAAAATATTAAAAGAAAAATCCTATAAATATGTTTCCAACAATGAAGTTACCAGAACTGGCCACTAGAGGAAGACAGAAACCATGCTACATATGCTGTTGTTGTTGTTTTGTTGTTAAGTCATGTCTGACTCTTCGTGACTCCATGGACCAGAGCATGCCAGGCCCTCCTGTCTTCCACTGCCTCCCGGAATTTGGTCAAATTCATATTGGTTGCTTCGATGACACTGTCCAACCATCTCATCCTCTGTCATCCCCTTCTCCTCTTGCATTCACACTTTTAGCATTCACTAAATATATTACCATGATGTCATTACCAGAACTATCCACTAGAAGAAGCTAAAGACCTTGTTATGTATATAGCGTTCACTATAATCCACATTTGTCAGCCTCCTCAGAGAGGCTTGGAACCAATCTCCTGAAGATACAGGGGTCGTATTATGCTTTTGCTGTTTTTCATCCCTATTGAATGCATGGTACATTTTCTAGGGAGGGGCAGGCTTAGCACTATGGTACTTCCCATTTGAAGTTGATAGTTGCATTGAGAGCCACCTGGCTGGAAACATCCAATCAGCACCCAGAAATAAAAGCAAAAGTTCCAGCAAAGATGCTGCTGCAGATAAATAGATTTCTTAAACCTTTCTTACAATATTCCTTAAAAATAAGTGGCTTTCTTACAGAGAAGGTAAGTGTTTAGGGTTTTTAAAATGAAATTTGGATGCAAATCTCAGTAATTTCCACATTTCCTTCAGCACCAAAAGGCAGAAAGGGGGTTGGGAAAAAATGTTCATTTTGGAAGAACATGAGGTAAAATTGACATTGCTTCTCCTCCTCCAAAGGACAGATAGACTAAATGAGAGGAAAATGTGCAGTGCTGTCGGAGCCAAATGTGTGCTAGAGTGATTGCTGCATCTTTTTCTACCTCAGAAAGGTCTAAGAAACATTACAGTTTCATTGTTTTTCATTGCCTAAAGGAACCTGGATAGTTTCCACATTCTTGGAGACATGTACTGTATAAGGTTTTTAAACTCTTTTTTTTTCTTTTCTTTTTTGCATGAAGTCTACATTTCATATAGAAATGCCTCCAAAGGTATACTAAGGTTGGGGCACACCATGGAAAATAATGCCGCAGATGATTGATTACAAAAATAGGAGACACTACAGAGCTGCACGCCAAAACTCGAGAGCAGACGACATAGCTCAGTTTCCATTTCAAACAAATAGACAGTGGAACAGTCAGGAAACTGCCAGGGGAAATTAATTCAACATGGACAGAACACCAACAGAATAAGGCAGATGCAGAGATGGTCATTGCAATATGTCATCATGGCAGTAATGAAAGATGCTGTTTTCCTGCTTTGTATTATTCTTAAGCCCATGGCCAAATTTTGATCTTTTACAACAATTCCAGCAGATTCAGCAGAGTACATTTGGCTCTGTTAAAACTGGTGTCAGAATCTGGCCCAATGCAGGTCAGAGATGGAACAAGTTACTTTTTTGTGGCAGGTTACATTTCTCAGGATACCCCAGCTGGCATGGCACTCTGATGCAGATGACATGCATAACTAAACAACATGCTTAAAGGAATTTTTCTTCTTCTTCTTCTACAGGGTTGACATTTGACTGAGTGTTCTTGATCACGTCCTCACCACTCATTAACAGGATAAACAGAAAATAAAAAGATTCAGCCAACTAAAAGGAGAAACAGTGACAGTAAGCTATTGTCTATGGAAAATGTAATAAGCTCTGAGGTCATGCCACGGGCCATGTCATTTAAATTCTTCCATTTGCCATCTGTAGAGTTGGATCAAACCACTGAAAAATGGATCAGACCTGTCTCCCCACATTTCTGTTAGCATATTAATAAATACAGAACTCTAAATGTATATTTTGTTTGCCACTGACTAATCTATGGAGTTGACATTGGATACATTCAAGACAAGGCTAATCCATGTACTGTTGTTGTACAACACTTTTCTCATCAACACAATTTGAGAACCACAGCACAATTATAAGAACTAATATATCTAGTCACAGAACATGTGAACTCTATGTTCATATTTATTTGTTTATTTGTGTATTTGTTTATTTATTTTAATGGAGCAGTCTGCAGATGCGGCTTGTGCCATTCTTTTCAATTGCAAATTTAACGGGAGTACATTGACACTTAAATTCTACTTATCATTTATGCAAAGATTCTTTGAACAACATGTTAATTTTATTGATAAGCTATTTTGTTATTTTATAGAATTCATGCTGGGGGAATGATCAGAAAATCTCAGGCACCTCGTTCCTCATTAAATTACTCATAATTGTTATGAACTATTTATTCGGAGCATTTCATAGGTGCCATAGCAAACATGGGTCTGTCTCAACCGTTAGGCTTGTTTCGAGATATTTTGTTCTCTGAATACATGGAAGATCATACTATGGATTTAGTGTTCATTCAAGAATGAAAAAGAATCCCATTTTTGGATTAAAGAGAGAATATACACCTGATAGATAAATAAGAGTATCTGTTTTCTGCGACTCTCTTGGTAGCTTTGTTGTCATGGAAATATCCTTTCCTTTTATCTCTGTAGGGATAGGAGAGCAAACCTGACAGATGATTGTCCATTCTCAGAGGAGGATGGATCTAGAAGGCATTGTGATCTTTCTGAAAGAATCTTCCATAGCCTTTTGGCAATTGTGCCAAAGCCGACATATCTGTATGAATGAAGAGAAGACTTGGACTATCAGTACAATAACTTTCAAACACTGATCAACCTGTAGAGCTCTTGCGATTCCAAGGTATTCTCAGGAAATCAAAACACTAACATGGTTAAATTGACAGATAGAATACATATAGTAAAAATTTTATAGCAAGTACAATAATTGAAATCAGTTGCAAATCCATTCTTGAGCATACCATATCATGTAAGGGCAGTGAAGGACTTTTACCTCTCCATTACTACCTACATAACATTGAACAGCAAAGTTGTTTCATCTGGTTAGTCAACTTCTCTATAAACCCCCAGGAAGTCATTGTGTATAGATTCAGAGGCTTATTGAGGGATATAGAAGGAACCTCCCCAGTGAGTGGAAAGCATTGTGAGTGCCCTCAAGCACCCCTTGGGCAATAGTCTGCAGCTGGCAAATCCTTCACCTCCAGAAGCATTGCACTATACATTTGCTGATGAGCAAAATGACCCGACAGTCCTTTTTGGGACCACAAATGACAATAATCTCTAGCATTTTGGTTTGATTTTGACTTTGGCTATATTTCATATGTGCCCGTGGTTTTGAATTGTGTGGTGCTCTGATGCAAATAAAGGGAGGATTATAACTACGATGGATGACTTACAGGAGAGGCTAGATGGAAGAAATGCAACCGTGTTGATTCTTCTTGCCATCTCAGCAGCTTTCAACACCAACCATCATGGCATCATTCTGAGCTCCCTTGTGGGTTGGGGCTGGGAGGAGCACTGTTCTAATGGCTCCAGTCTTCCTCGACAATCATTTTCAGAAAGAAGTGGCCTTTGACTTGTGGGATTCCATCCTGGCCAGCATGCTGTCTACATGAACCAAGTGAGATATGGTATCTAAAGGTCTAGGATGCAGTAACACATCTTCAGTTCAGCAGACGTTAGGGGTGACTTTTGGGGGCATATTAATATTTCTCAGACTACCATATGTTTTGAACAATTGAAAAAAGACCTTAAGCAATTTAAGACAATAACTTGCGGCTTCTCTGGGAGCCTCTCAATTTTTGCTAAAATTCAAAATTCTGCTCCTTTCACTTCTTATAAGTAAGAAAGACTTAGTCCTTTTTTTATACTTGGAGCATGCTGTTCTAGAAACAGCAGCCACTAAACACTAACCTTCACAATTGTTATATGAATTTGGGACTTTTTATTTTCTTGACATTAGTGGGCAGCTGGAAAAGCGTATGATCTGACACATAGCGATGGGCCATTTAACTTCAAATTCCCTCTAATTCCTAGTAAATATCTACCGCTTACTCTGATATCACTTTTACTTAATTAATTCATTTTAAACTGACTTGAAGACGTGGATCTGCTTTCATTTAATTGGGTCTCTTCATAAATAACTATTTTAAAGCCTCCTCTGTGTTATTCTTCAGAGTTCTGAACTCTCATTCATCTTCCAGCAGCTACAGAACAGATGGACTTCACTTTGGCATGAATGATGTCAAGTATCCCTCTACCAGTAGCTGAAGCCAACTGTCTCCTTCATTCTCTGGCACACAAATATTGGGTTTCATACAGAAATGTGGAAAATGCCTTTATACTCATTTCTGGGTGAAATACTATATATTTGCTTGATAAGCCTTGGCGTTCATATTAATCATAAATCAATTATGCTTATCCTAAACTTCAGAAGTGTGGCATTTCTCTTTCTTTCTTCAGTATGAAATCCAATAGGATATTCACAGCAATTATGTTGCTTTTCATATTCATCGTAAGCTCATATTGTAATCATTAGTACCAAAGCCAGTTCATTTTCTGCTTTACAGTATTTGAGATGGATAAAGTACTTACATATAAAAGTTCCTTCACCTACCTTCTCTGATACTGAAGTAAATCCTTTTGTTAACAAGAATGTTTCCCTTTCAGTCACAGTGATTTTTCTTTTTGTAGATTTAACAAGATATTAGCAAAAAATCTTTCATGTTTCAGAAAAAGAATGAGGTCTGTGATGTAGAAAAGGCTTGACTTCTGTGAATAGCTAGTCACTACACTAGGATCTAGGTATCATCATCACCAGACATGTCAATCTGGCTGCCAAAGAAGAGAAATAAAATCATCATTGGAAATAAGTGCTCAATAAATAAGTAAAAGAGCCGTAAGATGCTATGAACTTGATATAGGTCTTCTATTATTTTCATGTCAACAGTTAAGCTGTTGGACCAAAAATACTGGTCTTCTATTATCCTTTAGAGCAGGGGTCTCCAATCCCCGGTCTGCAGTCCACTGCAAGTCCATGGCCTTCATAGGACGGCCCCCCTGCATGCACCCCCCACACTCACACCCACATGCACATACAGCCCGCATGCATAGGTGCCCTGCCCACCTGCACATGTGCACGAGAAGGCCCTGTTCACCCACAAGCATGCCACACTCATCCACGCATGCGCATGAGCGCACCCCGCCCACCTGCCCATCAACCAGTCCATGGCTCAGAAAAGGTTGAGGACCACTGTTTTAGACTATCAGGCTATATTTATTTTAGGTTTCGTGTGGCATGGCCCAGTTTTTCAAACCCATGGAGTAAAGCATCAGTAGACACATGGGAAGGGTATAGATATTATCATTATTGTGGTGGTGGTGGTGGTGGTAGTTGTGGTGGGGCAGGTTGTTGTTGATGATGATGATGATGGAAAGCTTGATCATAATTCAACATGGGCATGGCTAAAAGTGGGGACTCTTAAGAAAGAAACACTCCAAACCAATAGGTGAAAACTAAGAGTCAAGGAATTAGTGCTAGCAGCAAATGTTGATCCAAAACAATAGGTGAAAACTAAGAGTCAGGGAATTAGTCCTAGCAGCAAATGTTGACTCTGTCAAGAAAAAGATTACTGTTTCATACCTCATCTGTGAATGTCCAAAGACTGTACAGATTACAAAGTCAGACATGACAGAGTGGCAAAACTAGTGCACTGATCATTATGCAAAAACCTGTGCCTCCAAAAACCTGTGGGAACATCAGGTAGAGAAGGTGCCAGAGAATGAGGAAGTCAAGATCTTGTGGGATTTCCAGATCCAAACTGATAGAGACCTTGAATATAACACACTAGACATAGTAGTAATAGAATGAAGAAATGTCCATATCATTGGCATTGCAATTCCCAGAGATGCCACAGCTGAAAATAAAGAATTGGAAAAACTAACAAAATGCAGAGACCTGGACATCAAAACATCTCACTTGTAGATGAAACACACTTCAGTAGTCCCCATAGTCATTGGGGCTTTGGGAACAATATCAAGAAATTTCACACAGTACTATAATCAGTTGCAGATCTCAGAAATAACACCATCAGAGCTACAAAAAAAGAACTATATTAGGAACAGTATACATACTGTGTCGATATTTAACAGATATTTAGGTTTTTGGTGAAAACTTGTATCTGTTATATAATACCAGTCAATGTTTTTATAATGCTGACTGTGTCTGGTGTTTCATCATCATCATCATCATCATCATACAACAGCAGCAGCAGCAGCATCTTAGAACTACAGAGCTGGAAAGGACCCTATAGATCATCAAGTCCAGCCCCTATCAAGGAGGCACAGCAGGGAATTGAACTCCCAAACTCTGGTTTAGATACCTAAATTACTGAGCTATCCAGAAGGTGCCATTCCATTTTCAGGAGCTGATTAGCCTGACAACTGAATCTTCTTCTAAGACTGGTTACAAGGAGGGCACAATGTCCTCCTTAAGGCAGCAGGGACTCTGCAGGTGGAGCTCTGTTGTCTGGAATGTTGCTCTAGAACCTTGCTGCCACTCCCCCAGCTCCAGCTTGTGTTGCCTGTAGCTGCTGCCTCCTTCTGCCTATAGTGATGTGGCCCTGGTAGTGTAAACAAACCAACTAACCTACTTACCTACCTACCTACCAAGTGTTATGCCCAAAGTATTATCATGACCTGCCAGTAGTAGACCCAGATGTTTACAGAGTTTGTCCCATCCTATAGGTGATATACCAAGCCAGAAAGTAGACCTTCCTCTTTAATTTGAACATACTTTCACACCATATTTGAATTCCTGCTCTTGGCTTCTAAACTGAAACATTAAAGGCTAGCAAACTAGCCAGAGTTGGGACAAAGAAAGCCTATGTCTAATTCATAGCTAAGATCATTCTAGCTCAACACTCAGTTATTACCAGATGCATATCCTATCACCCAGCTTTGAGCAACGAGTAACCAAAATTGTCTTTCTGAAGTCTTCCACTCAGTTGTTGATGTCTTGATGACAGACCCCTGAAGGAGGGCAGCCCCCACACACACCCCAAAATTGAAAAAAAATGGAAGAAAAATGTTGCACTCATAAAGTCCTCTTGTGCTTTATTTTCCGATGTTTGAAGAGACTTCTACCGACACTGCATCCTCAGCCCCCTCAAAAATATTTTTTTTAAAAAAATTAAAAATTTGGCCACTGGGAGGCTCAAAAAATTTTTTAATGTAAAACTTATATCTTTTTCAGTTAAACCCATTTTAATTAATTAAAAACCCACTGTAACAACATTTAAATCACACAAGTACTGAGTTTATAGAATCATAGAATTATTGAGTTGGAAGGGGGCTATAGGCCATTGAGTCCAACTCCCTGCTCAATGGAGGAATCCAAATCTCTCTGGATAGCTCAGTGAATTAGGTATCTATCTGGCTGTGGAGCCAGAGGCTCGGAGTTCCCCTCTATATATCCCAGAAGAGCCAGCTTGAGCAAGCTGCACAATCCCAGAAGAATTGAATGGTAAACTGCTTCTGAGTATTCTGTCCCCAGAAAACCCTAGAAAGGATTGCAATAAGTCAGAATTGACTTGATGACATGCAACTAATGCATTTAAAAGAGTAACATATACAAATTATTCTCTTTGGCACCACCTCTTTAGCCTCACACCAATGGGTGTGTGTTCTTCATATAGCTCGATGAAAATGTCAACCCAGTGCATGGCGGGAGTGAAAAAGGCCAATTCCATGCTTGGTATCATTAAAAAGGGGACTGAAAATGAAACAGCCAACATTATAATGCCATTGTACAAAATGCTGGTAAGGCTGCACTTGGAGTATTGTGTACAGTTCTGGTCTCTGCACCTCAAAAAAGACACCGTGGAACTGGTGCAGAAGAGAGCAACTAAAATGATGACTGGGATGGGGCACCTCTCTTATGAGGAAAGGCTACAGCGTTTGGGGCTCTTTAGTCTAGAGAAAAGGCGCCTAAGGGGGGACATGATTGAGAGGTATAAAATAATGAAGGGGATGGATAAAGTGGTTAGAAGGAAGCTCTTTCCCCTCTCACACAATACCAGAACCAAGGGACATCCACTCAAATTGAGTGTCAGGAGAGTGAGAAGAGACAAAAGAAAATATTTATTTACCCAGAGTGTTGTTAGTCTGCGGAACTCCTTGCCACATGATGTGGTGATGGCATCTGGCCTAGATGCCTTTAAAAGGGGATTAGACAGATTCCAGGAGGAAAAGTCCATTGCAGGTTACAAGCCATGATGGGGATGTATGATCTCCAGTTTTAAATGGATGGTATCTCAAAATGCCAGATACAGTGCAGGGGTATCAGAAGACAGGTATTTTGTTGTCTTGTGTGCTCCCAGAGGCATCTGGTGGGGCCATTTGTGAGATACAGGAAGCTGGACTAGATGGGCCCTTGGCCTGATCCAGCAGAGCTCTTTATGTTCTTATGTTAAAGCTAAAAAAGGCCCTGAGTTC